AAGACTGCTTTGCATGCACTTTCACAATCCCTTTAACTCAAAGCTAAAACCACGCTGCTGCCAAGAGGTGGGCCTGACTTGCAACTACCATCCCCTTCCTTTTCTTAGCTCCAGCACTCCCACAGTTTGGGAATGGAGTTTTAGGGGGTCAGACCAGCCTACTTACATGCCTGAAAACTAACCCTATTAAAAGAACCCAACCCAAACCAGTTCTCAGGAAGATGAAAGAGCAAGGCTGCTGCTGTGACACAAGAGGGCAGAAATGCATGACCTAGGGTAAGAAAGAGAAAGTCCCTTTGGGCAGCCACATGCTCTTCTACTGGGCTAAGCCAACCAGTGGTGACTAATGCATTTTATCTGTTAGGAATCTCAACAAAATATGCTTTATTCAACTTCACTGTGAGAAGGAGGGTTGAAGCATGCAGTTATTCCCCCTTGCCTTACAAACAAGATCCCAGGAGAGCCAGGGTGACAGGACCTTCTGACATCATCTTGTGTCCTCCTTTTTACTCAAGTTGCTGCCTGCTCATTGCTGTGATCTTGAGGATACCACTGGAATCCCCACTACAGGATTACTTCCTGCTCCACTGTGGTATCAAGATCAGTGTCCCACCATCTGCACTTTATACATATGTAAGACCAAGAAAGATTTTATCAAGGGTTATAAAACGCTAGTGAGAATGGACTCCACTCTGTTCTTGAAACCAGCTATGATACTGCATCATCATTTGTCCTGTGTAGATACTACTGTCAGTTTAAGAGTTATCAGTGCAACATTTAAAATTCAACCTATGCTGCACATAGGCTGACCAATTAGCTCTGATAAAGTGAGATAAAGACATTTGGGTTTAAAATCCTGAAGTTCAACTGTAGTTTGTTTATTTTGTAAGTGCACCTTTTCTAGCGATTTAAAGAAAAAAAGGGGGCAAGGCTAGACTGAGAAAGGCATCTTGCACTCTCAGGAACTACCTGGGAGCCCATAGGGGGGCTAAGGGATTCTGCAAGGTAGCAGGTTTAATGAGCAGTTAGGCATGATGATGTTTCAAGGGCTAAGAATTCACAAAGCACTCAACACTCCAGCATGAGTTTGTCAAAACACGTAATCTCTGCCTGTGCATTTTAAAAATAAATGTATTCTAAACTGGAGAACTCACTGGTTTCAGTGGGAATGCAAGAGTACATTCCAGGAGCCAGGCTGGAGCATTCAGCAAACTATCTGTCTGCATCTGGCACCAGCCTGAGTTTTGGGCAAGGGGTAAGAAGTTCCTGGCTCTGCAGAGATTCCCCACATAACCTTTGGCAAGTCTGTTGCTCATAAACCTCACGTATAAAATGGAGAGGTGCTGCACCTACATCCCCACGTCTGCATCGTGCACCTCCTTTGAAAGTTTCACAGGTCAGTAACTGTCTCTGGAAGTTAGTGCCTGGGCTGTGAGAGCTTGAGCAAATTCTCTGTGATACCAAATGTCTTTGCCTTGGGGGTAGGAGGCTGCCGGGTGTCAGTTTGGCCTCCCTCTCACGCAAGCTTCCAACCTTTGCATGTGCCCTCCTATACCTAGTTCACGCTGGAATGACACAGCCCAAGTGTTTGATTTTGCTTCTCTCCCCAAGCACCTTAATCGTGGTATTGATTATGCAGAGGAGTGGTTTATACCCCAGGTAAAGCAGGATTTGCCTTTGCCAGAGAAGTCCTAGTACTCAGAGCAAAGTTTATGGTGAAATAAAGAGCAACATACACATCTCGCCCCCACCCTTCCCTGCAGGGCTATTGCTCATGTGTGGGAGCTAGAGAAAAAAGCAGTAAAGAAATGTAAATGCAAATCTGCCTGCTTTGCCCCTCACACCCAAACACTCCATATAAACAAACAGCCATCTCCAGGTACTGTTTTCAAGTCAGAGACAAGCAAATACTCAGCATCTCTGTCCTGGAGCCACAAAAAACTTCACTGCAGAATATTTTTACCTTGCTTCTTTCTGAAGCAAAGATTTCTTACTTGGGAAAAAGGAAAAGAAACAAAAATGTGAGGGGAAAAGCACAGATGTTGTAAATACCTTTATTCTGAGAGATTTGCTTTCTGTACTGAAACAAAAGAAGCAAAATCTGCAGTGGAACTCATCTACATACAGTGTCTAGGGCATGACATGGTAAGAAGTTTCTGCATGCTGAATTGAGAAAACACAGCATGTTTTGTCTGATACTTCTCTTAAACACAGGAATCAGAGAAACAAAGGTCGAGTTATAAAGCAGAGTATGCCACAGCCATGGATCACAGCTGAATGAGTTAGAATTATGTAGTAATTCCAATATGCATTGAAAAAAATCAATGAAAAGAATCAATATGGGATTAGGCAGTATAATAATACACACAGGTAACAGATACTGCAAAAGAAGAGTGAGGTGTAAAGGAACTTGGAAGCAGCATGTTGAAGTGACTCACTGAGAGCCCGATTCCATGGCCTGGCTATACCACAACACAGGGATGGAAGGAGATAGAGCAGTTATCACATCTCCCTGGGTGTCAGGAAAGTCCTTCCAGCAGCAGGGGAATAGCAAAATCTACTTTCGCAGCAGTTTGAGTAGAGATAAAACAGGCTTGTAGGTGCATGCAGGGCATATGCGTTGTATAAACACAGTATCACTGAGATGGTGAACCTGATAGGACAGGCTGACAAAGCGGCTGCAGGGGATCTAGAACTGGGGTCTTCCCCATTTAGCCATGGACTAAATGATCTTGAAGCTCCTGAGCACTTAAGAACCAAACCCAGGCAATAAGAAAGGTCAAAGATTATGTCAGCAAGCTCTGATTCTACATTGCCCCAAAAGCCTGATGGAGTAATATTATATACTGCCTCTATGTTTATGAACGAAAGCAGTTGGAGGCTTTCTTCTGAAATACTCCTCTATTTCAAAAGAGAATAGCAGCAAATAGTAGAAAGTGACACCACTACATCTGTCTGTAAAGGTACTAAAAGCAGAGTTGACAAAGCTTAAACAGAATCACAGAGACACATGGTCTAGTGACCTTTCCATAGAACAAGGCACCGCAGAGATCTCCTGGCTCCGGCACTGGTTCCTTTTGTGCCACCAGACAATCCTCTTTATCCTCTGCCCTTCAAATAAAATAACATTTGCCTTCTCCTGAGGGCAGCCACAAGGATAAATGAGCAGCAGCCCAGGGGCTATCAACCCCACCTCTTATTCAGAAGATTCTGAAAGCAGCTTTTTCCATTTGCTGTGATTTCTTAAGTACCTTGCTATTTGATTATATTATTGACCTATTTTGAAGGAAAAAACACATTGATTTTAAACCATCAGGATGATAAGTCCACAACTTTGTTTCCCAACTCTTGATGCTCCAATTGGAAAGTTTTTCTGTGGATTTTCTGGGCTGCATTTACTCTAGCTTCTGAGTGTGGGAAAAGTAAACAAGCAATTATTTATAGGCCATCCTTCACCTTCTGCATGCTGGAACACTTACACCTATTTTAGGATAGACTGTTAGAGCAAAAAGAGACGCATTCATCATTGGTTTTGGAATTGTTATCATTGTAGTGCAGTATTTTAGACCCGTGGAGCTTCTATATGTTTTTAAACTCTTCAACCTGCTTATTACCAATGCAAAGGCATTTGAAGGTCCCAGGTTTCCCACATGTTGATCACATCCCTATTTCAGATTTCTTTAAAATGATGCTCTTGTAAGTTATAATAGTTCAAGAGCTGACTGATGAGAGCTGGGAGCAGTGGTCTCAGTAGCAAACACAGACTTGGCCATTCCCATTCTCCAAGTGAGAGCCCTTCAATCCAGGTCTCCATGGAACTTTGAGAAGGCTGGCCCAGCTCCTCCAGGCACCCACTCCAGTAGCAAGAACAATCGCGGGCTCATTTTTTACATCTGAGGGAATTCTATGTTATCGAGGGGAAAAAATAAAAAAAAAAAAAAAAAAAAAAAAAATTAAAAAAAAGGAGGAGGAAACAAAAAGGAGGAGGAAAAGAAAAGATTTAATTTCGAGAAAAAGTTGGGTTTAATCTACTACTGGCAGTTAAAAAAATGTCCTAGTAATTAAAGAAAAAAAAAAAAAAAGTATATATAGGTACCAGAACAATTTTCTTCTTGTATTCCCCAGGAACTGTTCACAACGTAAACAAACTAACAGCATTTTCCCTTCAACCCATAACAGTTCAAATTAGGATTACTCAAAATGTGTCTATGAATTTGTAGTTTTATTCTATGATGATGCAAAGATCCCACTGATTAACACGGGAAGCTGGACAACACTTCAGGAAGATGCACTCAACATTTTGCTCACAGGTCAAGTTACTTAAGTTCTCAAGCTCTGCCCTGTAAGGGACATCACACAATTTTAATGTCAGATTAATTAACATATTTCCAGAGTCCTGGACCCCACAACACATTAAATTGTCTTTCAGATATGCCTTCTTATTCTTTGTCACACTACAGTTTTACACTAAAAGCAAAATTACTGTCATTAGGTGACCTAACTGTATTTTCCCAATGTTTCAAAATGCTTGAGTGAATCACTAAAAACCGCTATCAGGTAGATCAAAGCATCTGCAGAAAAGCTATCATTCTATATTAAATTCTACTGAATTGGTTCCAAAACTGTGAGTAATCTTTATGAAATGGATTTGTACTTTAATGTCTGCTAATCAAGTATGAACCTAATATTCCAATCTATTGTCAGACTTTGCCGCCTCCTTAGCTGTCTCAATGTCTCAGTCCTGAAAGGATTTCCATGCTGTGAGCTATTGTCATCACTAAAAATTAATTCTCCTGTTTTAAGCTGAAAAAACATTGTGTGTGCACACTGCCTAAGTTGAGTCACAGATATACAAGATAGTCGTGTTACAACTTTGACATCTTTCAGAACCATGAATTTTACACTCATAATGAGCAAAACAAAAATAAATAAAGCCTCTCCTTTTTTTTTTTTTCTGCTCTGATGAATCTAAAAGAAATGCAAATCAGCATTTCAAATACACTGTGGCCAGTAAATGCTTGATATTCCAGGGTCCTCCATACTTCTGAACTGCTGCTCTCATACATGATGTGGAGGCACCCAAGAGCTTGAGGTTGCTAAAGGGCTCCCAGCAGACCTGTCTGGGGAACACAAATTACAATTCCAGGCAGCATGACAGAAATCCACAGGTACTTGCCATTAATCACAAAATCTTCTATTCTGATAAGAGTTTTATAGTTTCATTGTGAAGCATTAAAAGTAAAGAGTTATCAGGATCTTCTTTACTTAGAATTACTTTCTTAAAGTTGACAGTGCAGAGTAACTCATTCTTAGAGCATCTATTTGGAGTATAGGACGGTTGCACTGAATCTTTTAAGCCTATTTTGATGTACATGACAGCTTCACTGAAGTCAGTTGAGGATCAAGGTCTGCACAAATTCCAGTTTCATACAGGAGACAACTACAAAAGAAAGGCTATGGGGAAGACTAACAGTAAATGTTACATATCACAAAATTAGTAGGTAGGTGGTTGTCTTTGAACTTACTGTGAGAGAGTACATTTTGTATCAACAACCATCAATGACACAGAAACAAATAAAAATACGAGGTAATCATTGCCTACTGAGAACAGTTGTTTTCAAACATCTGCTCGCTCACTGAACTGCTTTACAACACTGTTTTGACATAAATATCTCTCTAACATCTTTTATCACAGAGACTTCTTTTAATAGTTTTCTGAAAGATATTTTAGGCACTTAGTGCAATTAGTAAGGCTAGTTAAGCCTTATTTATACACTCTATTTCCTTTACCCAGTGCTGGCAAGTCCAAACAACACTGAAGCTAGCTGCTATGCAGCAAATAGGGTAAACATGAGGTAAAGCTTTAGACAGTTGAATTCTACACTGAATCCTTACAATGCCACAAAAACTATCAGATGCTGTGCAAACAAAGAAGCAAGCACAGTATAAATAACAGTAGTTTACTATTTTAAATTTTCTCTGTATACTCCAAAGACAAGTCCTAGATTTTTAATAATGTATTGCATGACTATTTCATTTTTCCTCTACGCAGCCTTTATTCTACAGGAAGCGACACTGCTCTGGCCAGAAATAACATTAGCTGATTTTTCAATGACTAACAGATTAGTTTATAATAATCTTGTAGATCATGAAGAATGAGCATCAGGCTGGATTATGTAGGACTTGTTTGACCTGCTCTGCTAGAGCTGGACTCTGACACTTTCAATTTGATTCCGGTCTGCAGTCTGCAGCAAGAGGCTCATCCAGAAAATGATGAGTCCCATGCCTACCTACCTAGTTAAAATAATTTTCAGGATATATTTTTCCATCTAAGCAAGTCCCAACTAAATAACAGCTGTCATCTCCATCAACCTCAGATCAAAAGTTCATTACTGCATTTTCCACTTATATTCCTAACTTTGACCTTGGAACATCACCTAAGACGGGGAACAGTAATTCAGTCTCCCAACTACCTAATTCTAAGAGAACCTCTCCTGAGAGCAGGCTGCTAAAGGCAGTTTTGTATTTGACCCAGTACTAGAACAACAAACTCCATTTCAGTTTGAGTTACAGTTTGGGTTTGGTCCAGGACCGCAGATGGCATCAAATGCAGTTTTCTTTCTTGTAAAATCACACATCAGCAGCATTTATACCTTGGGGAAGGTGACATTTTTCAAAAGTGCTCATCACTTCAAAAGTCCCCATCTCCTTCTTCCTATACATTTCATACAGGAAAAAAATAGGGCAAGAGATGACATCCAAATGTTTCTCATAACTGAAAAATTAAAAAAGAGAAAGAGGATACCTGAATTGGCATTAATCCTATTGGTGCTCAAACAGCTAACCTTTTCAGGTCTCAAAGTTTCTTTCAGCATAACAAATATTTGGGAAAGAAACTTTATCATTTCTGTGGTTAACAGAGGGGCTTCACTAACTTAAACTGTTACAGCATTCTACTACTATTTCTCCAAAACAACTCACAGTATCTCATAGTAACGTGCCTGAGAGGCTCAACTTGTTTTAAGATTACACAGTAATTGTGTATTCAAAACAACTGCATTATTGGTAAGAATAAATTACTCTGTTTCTCTTCTCTTTATGAAGCCTTATGGCTTCCTCAAAATGTATTATATAAAATAATTCATACAAGATTTGTTATGAATAACAGCCTACAAGTTCAATACCAGTATTTGTTATTCAAAATGCAGGCCACATTAGCAACTTCTGATTGGATTTACGGATTGTGTAATAACGTTTCTTTCCTGTGACTGGTGAATGGAGGAAGAGAACTGCTAACTGTTATCTTGTGCTCAGCCACAGCATCGTTCATCTAGCTAAAGTATTTTTCTAATTCTGTTTAGTTAAAGTGACAGAAATCTTCATGGGGCTATGTCTAAGATGACTTAAAACTGATTTATACTGAATTAGCTTAACTTGGTTAGTTACTATGAATACAGATAAGGCCTGAGACCCATAAATAGGTATTTGTGCCTTACAGAGTCAAGCTTGATTTCAACTGCAGGAATAAGTGAAAGATCAGGCCCCAGATCACAATATTACATGTTTTATATATATATTTAGTTATACAAATATATATTTCTGTGACTACCACATCTACTACAATTCCCCTGTCAGGTGACGTCAAATGTAGAAAATGGAAAATGCCTTCACCTAAGACACTACAAATTTGATAGTTCTGGCATCATTCAGCTACTCTTCTTGCTAAGATCACCGAGTAATATAATGGTCTACTCCACATAATGATGGATGCATTCTTTACACAAACAGCACTATTTGTACAGCACAGGTTATCAGCAGTCAAGCTGGATGCCTAATGTAAGAAGATGTCTCCAGGACAGGTGATAGCAGGAAGAATTAGTGGGGTCGGACCTGTCCCTTGTGGAGGAATGAGGACTGAGAACGGGTGAGAGTAGATGGAAGTCTCTCTGCTTACTCTTCCACTCCCTCTTCTCAAACTGACCCAACACAGGTAGAAGCCCTCTTCCTTCCCTTTCCCATCAAGGGCAAAGCTGCTGCCCACACAGCCTGATCCTGTCCCTTGTGAGCCCACTTAGGTCTTACAGGCAAAGTACACAGTGGGGTGTAGTGGACATGGATGGCGCAGTCCTCTCTATCCACTTCACCCCTGCATTAACAGAGCCTTTCTCAAGAAATTCTCCGTTACAGCTTTCCCATCTTCTTTCCAGCCTTCCCCTGCTGACAAAACAGACCCTTCAACCCCCCAGCTCGACTGCTAACTCTCAGACCCACGCGGTGGGTGTCATCTCCAGGTGCCACTTCATCCCTCTGCCGTGAGATGCCTTCTGCACCAAGACATTCGCCAACGTCAAACCCGGCCAGCCCCAGCCGTGGGTGACGTCAAAAGGAAAAATTAAAAAAAAAAAAATCGTTAAGCCTAACAAAAACCCCTATCTATGAAACTGTTCTGTGAAGGCCGACGCCTCCCTGGGCAGCATCTAACGACAGCCACGGGCCAGCCGCGGCAGCCGGGGGACTTTGGGCACGGCTACTCCTTCC